TCTGAACCACCGCCGACCACCATTGATCTAAACCATCGCCGACTACCACCGATCTGAACCACCGCCGACCACCATTGATCTAAACCATCGCCGACCACCACCACCGACTACCACCAATCTGAACCACCGCCGATCTGAGSCACCACTGATTTGATTCACCATCAATCTAAACCACCGCCGATAACCGCCATCTGAACCACCATGGACCACCACCGATCTAAACCACGCTGACCACCACCGCTAACCACCTCCATCTGAACCACTATGGACCACCATCGATCTGAATCACTACGGACCACCACCATCTGAACCACTGTGGACCACCACCGATGAGAACCATCGTCGACCACCGTCGATTTAGCTTATGATTATATTTGGGTTGTGCATATTAAATAATTATTTTTTTGAAGTATTTTTAGTTTTAAAAAAATTAAAATTGTCAAAAAAGGGCATTTTGGTCATTTAGCAAAATTTTATTCCAATTCTAAAGCTACATTCTGTGAACCAAACAGAAAGATTCCAATTCCTTAACAGATTCCATTCCAAAGTCTGCCAACCAAACATGTGGTCAAACCTGACAACATTCCATTCCAATTCCTTCAAAGTCAAATTCCTTTAACAGATTCCATTCCATCCAAAAACATTCTGCGAACCAAACGCCACCTTAAAAGTTTTGGATTTGGAAATGTTGATGGTTTTGTTCCTCAAGCCTTTTCGACATAATTTGGTCCTGTTCATTTTGCTAGGCCACTCAAAATGATGCACCGACCAATATGTCATTCTCAAACATGTGTGCTCTCGTGGACCCTTGGATTCCCAACTTCGATGCAACAAATCACATGACGTCAAATCCCTGGTTGGTTCAAGAATCGATGCCTTATATTCGGACTGAGACGATGATAGTCAGAAATGGCAACTCTCTATGCATTAGTAATATCCAACATTCTTTTTATCTCTCACCCTGTATGCAAATTGTTACTAAAATGTGTTCTTCTAGTTCCCGAGCTTACCAAAAATTTACTTTCAATTTGTCAATTAGTTACTGGTATTCCTTATCTGGTCGTTTTTTCATCATCTGGTTTTTCCATTCTGACAATATCGGGAAGTATTTTCTATAATACTCCGCGTAACTGTCAGATGCTTTGCTCTCTTTCAACGGCTACATCTTCATCTGTCTCAACCAATGGGTGGCACTCGAGACTCGGCCATCCATTCGATTATGTCTTACACAAGTTTTGTATTCCTCTAATTTCTAATAAAAATAGTCATTGTTACTGCATGTAATATGTCTAGAAGTACGTGTTTACCACTCAATGTTTGTGATTGTAGGAGCATTACTACGTTACATGTAATACATTCGGATATTTAGGTTCCCTCCCCCATTGTCTCGCGTGATGGTTATTGATATTTCATTACTGTTATTGATGACTATAGTCGTTTTACTTGGATGTATCCATTATCCCATTGCTCTCAAGCATACGATCCATTTAGATACTTCAGATGTCATGTCGAGAATCTTGTTTCTACAAAAATCAAACAATTCCGATGGGATGGTGCTCCTGAATTAATAAAAGGGTCTTTTTGATAGCATCTTAACGAATCTAACATCTCGCTGCGAATCTCTTCTCTTTATATTCCGCAACAAAACGGAGTCCTCGAATGCAAAAATCACCATCTTTGTGAATGGATCATGCTTTACTATATCATTCTCGATTGCCAAAAGTCTACTGGTATGATGTGTATGCAACAACAACTTTCTTGATCAACTGTCTGCCTTCTCAAATTCTGAATCATTCCGCACCATATCATCTTTTGTTTCAAAAGAATCATGAGTACCATCTTCTTTGTACTTCCGGTGGTATGTGTTATCATTTCCTTGGACCTACTCGTCAAGACAAGTTATCTCCCAAATCATCTGCCTGCATCCTTCTTGGATACGCACCTCACCATGAGGGCTACATATGTTTTGATATTGTTTCATCTACCACTTATACTTCACGGCATGTTCAGTTTCATAAGACCATTTCTTCATCTCCAAACATTTTCTCCAAGTCCGAACCTAATGTTGTCTTACTGGTCGTTTCCACAGTTCACTTTCCTACTTTGTATCATGCATTTACGCACTTATCTCCATCAGCTTCAAGTCTTGTCACATCTAATCCATACTTTTACTTTTATATTTACAATTTTGATTTTACCTTGTTTAAATATAACTCGACCAATCCATACTCCTTGGTAGGGGTGTAAACGAACCGAACGAACACGAACGGAGGCTTGTTCATGTTCGTTCGTTTTACTTAACCGAACAAACGAACGAACACGAACGGTAAACGAACGAAAAYCTTTGTGTTCGTGTTCGTTCGTTTAGAAATCAGGTGTGTTCGTGTTCATTTATGTTCGTTCGTTAATATGCTAAACGAACGTAAACGAACGAACATAAACTAACGGGCTAATCGAACATAAATGAACACCAAAATAAATGAACAAAAGATTATATATTAATATTAATATATATAAATGAACGAATATAAACGAACATAAACAAACGGTAAATGAACGAACGTTCACGAACATAAATGAACGAACGTGATTCTTGTTCATGTTCGTTCATTTAATTAAACGAACAAAAAAAATTGTTCATGTCCGTTCATTTATTAAATAAACGAACATAAACGAACTTCCCGCCGAACAATTCACGAACGATTCCCTGAACGTTCGATTCGTTTACAACACTACTCTTTGGGTTGGATTATATTTTTGTTTTGGGTTGACTTGGATTGAAATTTTTTAAACCAACGTTGGTTAACCCGATCAACCCAAATTCAACCCGATCAACCAACGCGTGAGCACCGCCACCTCAGCCCTCGCGCCCTCGCGTACCTCACTCTCTTGTGCTCCGTTGCCTTCTTTTGTTGCTTTTGAGACTTGAGGGTTAGGGTTTTTCTAGGGTGTTTGGAGCGGCGAAGAAAACTAGCATTTTTCTTCTGAATTTGATTCGACGATCATCAATGGGGAAAAAACGAGAAAGGCATCAAAATCCAGAACCCTTCTTGACCGATGACACCAACAAATCCGTCTCCAAGAAGCGCAACAAGCCCGCTAAACAACATCAGAGCGAAGAAAAGGTGTCTTTCTGTTCAGATTTCTCTTTTTCGTTCTCCATACATTGATTACATCCATGTATATAATTACCAAAATCTTTTGACGAGATTATTATCCTTCAACAATCTGTATTTTGTAGCTTATATCAGCGGGCATGAGCTCTAAGATTTTGAAGGAGGCTTTAATTCAGCAGAAGGAGATTCAGGAAGAGACAGATGCCCAAAACCCTAATAACATAGTTTTCCCGGAAGAACCTGTTACTCAGGCTCAAGTAGATGAAGATGATGATGTTGACAATTTTGCCGGATTCTCTGATAATCATAGTCAATTTGGCGGTTGTGAGGTTACCTTCATCTTATATTCTTATCATTGGCCAGTTTCTTGGTTCTTGTCTTGTTCATGAAATTCCTGTAATCAAGAATACACGGGATGAATGTTGTTCTGCTCATCCAACTTTGACATGATAATCATCACTCAAACTGGAAAACTACTGAGTGAATAAGAAATCAGGAATAAAATGCACAAGCAAACTAGAAAACAGGATTATACAAAGTCACAGACGAAACGATAGCTCATAAAAGTTTTTTTTTACAACAATACAGGAAGAAATTAATGAAGATGAAGAGAAGTTATTGGAAGCCTTCTTCTCCAAAGATGCCCGTCCTCAGCGCACATTGGCTGATGTCATTGTGGAGAAGATAAAAGAAAAAGATACAGCGTCTTCAGGTTTTTATTATCCTACTTCTTGATCTTTATGATATTATGAGTATCTTTTGCTTATATCTAACCGAATGAGCTTGGTATATAGGTTTATCTGCAGTAACGCAACCTTTGCCAAAATTGGATGACTCCATCATAGAAATATACAAGAGGTGCTATGTATACATGTCTATTCTTCGATATTTGGTGATTCTTTTTATCATGAAACTAATAAATGTTCTAACTTGGGTATGCAGTGTTGGAGAGATTTTCAAGAAATATACCTCCGGAAAATTGCCATTAGCCTTCAAAAGCATACCGGCAAAGCAACACTGGGAGGAACTTCTGTACTTGACAGAGCCAGAGAAATGGTCGCCCAATGCAATGTACCAAGCCACCAGAATCCTTGCTTCCAATATGAGTTCAAAGAAAGTGGAGCGGTTTTACAAGTTTGTTTTACTCCCTCGTATTAGACAAGATATACGGAAGAACAAGAAACTTCATTTTGCATTATATCAAGCTTTGAAAAAGGCTGTATACAAACCGGCTGCCTTTAATAAAGGAATTTTGTTCCCAATATGCGAGGTATAAATTTACGAAACCCTGATGAAATTAGTTGGTGTCATAAAATTGTTTGTAACCTAAGCAAAATATTTGAACCAATTGCTAAGGTGGTCATAAGCAACTGTTATTGGAGGGAAGAAAGTTGTTTATGCAATGATTTTTCATTATACTATAATGATTATGAATTAGATATGTCCAAAAGCTCTATTAAATGGTTTTAAGGTAATATTAATTTTTCTGCATTCAAATCCTTGAGTTGTCTGTCTACTCAATTGCTCATTTACAAAAACCATTTGTTTTCCAGAACACATTGAGGTTCTTGACTGAAACGTGGTTTTATTCACAACCAATTTTTTGCTTAATGCTGGTCTACCTCCAGCTTTGCTTTAATCTGAGTCCAATCATAAGAGAGTTTTGTAACTTATCTGCAGTCAAGGACTTGCAATTTGAGAGAAGCTGTTATTATTGGAAGCATTCTTCAAAAGGTCTCTATTCCGCCACTTCATTCCAGGTATCACTGTCAACTTTTAAACTTATATTGGTGTCTTGTGCCAGTAAACGTGAAAAACGTATTAAACCATTATTAAGTTTTCTCGGAGTTCTTTATAGTATGATAAAAAGATGACATATGCATAATGCTTTCAAGATTATACTAAGCTGAGGCAGCCATCTCAGCATATTAATGTATGTGTGTGTGTATATATATATTTCGAATCAGACTGAAGGCATACACTACTTGGTGCTCAACATTTTGTATCTATACCAAGCTTTTTCAGATTTTATACATATTTGTGTCTATTTATCGTCATGTAAAGATGGTCTTGATTGATTTTCATAGTTGATATGTTATGTGGAGAAATAACTTAGTTTTTGTCATCAACTTGCAGTCTTGCGTTAATGAAACTTGCAGAAATGGAGTATGGTGGCACAACAAGGTATATGTCTTACCAGAGCTTCATGCATGTTGACAATTTTGTTTTTGGATAAATGGTAGTCCAGGAAACAGGGGCATTTCTTCTTTCCTTAACCTTGTGTGTGGCCATGATGCGGTGTGATGGTGCGGCTTTTGACAAGGGAGGATACTTGAGCAGTATTTTGGTCACTTTTCTGGAAGAAATGGGAATAATTTAGTAATTAAAAACTTAAGGGGCCGTTTACTAGACACTTACTCGGTAAGTGCTTACTGGGTCACTCTACCTTATCGGATGAACATTACAAGGATTGAGAATCTTACCCGGCAAGAGTGATGACAAGGACCGAGAGTCTTACCCGGTAAGTGAGAGTAACGACTCTTACCGGATAAATTGTTGCATACAAGGCCGTTTTAATGGACTAAAATCTTACCCAATAAGTTAAGTTAAAGTGTTTCTTACCGGTAAGCGTTGGGTAAACGGTCCCTTAGAGGTGATGGTAAAAAGAATCTAAATAACTTACATCTTATGATTACAAGAGAGATAAAAGAGCAAGGGAAGGTGACGACTAATGTCGGTCTTCATAATTTTTTTTATTTTCAAGGACTGGTTTGGATTATAAGGCAGAGTTACCTGATTATCGACTGGTTTTGATGCAGCTATTTTATAAAGTTGCTAGTAGAGAAGAAATATGCGTTGCCATATCGAGTTGTTGACGCGATGGTTGCACATTTTATGAGATTTTGTGAGGACTCAAGGGATATGCCTGTGATCTGGCATCAATCGCTTCTTGCATTTATGCAAAGGTTAGTCTCATCTGCACTTTTGAAAGCATTACATCCTTCTCTTTGTTTATTGTTATTTTCAACATTAACTATTGAATTTGGCGCAGATACAAACATGAACTGACAAAAGATCAAAAAGATGAGCTTAATTATCTTGTGAAGAAGCAGAGACATAAAATGGTATGCATAATTAATTATCTTTGTAAAGAAGCTGCTGATTTTACTATCTAAAAATATTAACGTTGTTGATGCAGGTGACACCTGAAATTCTAAGAGAGCTGCATAATAGCCGTAACCGTGGAGAGAAGGAGGACGACCTTATGTCTATATATATCCTTTTGATTAATAATGTTTTTATGTGAGATCCCGCATTGGTTGAGGAGGGGAACGAAGGTTGCCCTATAAGGGACCGGATACCTCCTCTATTAGACTCCTTTTAAAACCGTGAGTCCAAATATGGAAAAAGCAGACAATATCTGGTACTATTGGCCGAGATGTTACATTTTTACCTTGTTTTCCCGGAAGACTTTTTTTCCTTTCCTTAACTGTGCATCACCTTCTCCTATTTCTGTGATCAACAAAACCATAGAGGAAGACAGATTTGATATCCCAGATGTTCCCATGGAAGAGGATTAAAAAAGGTGAGAAACTCTTCAGTCCATTCTGGTAAATGTGTGCACATTCAGTAAAACTAACCAGTAAAAAGTTATTTTTCAGGAATACATTCGCTAAAGACATGGAAATTTTACATTTTTGAGTCGTTTGTGACTATGGTCGTTGGTGCCTCACTTGCTATGAATATGCTCTGAGTAACTTCACAATTTTGTAGGAAGTATCATATAATCTTGGATGATTTACTGCCTCATTGGATGGTAATCGAGGATATGTAATTGTATGATTGTTTCATTTATCATCAACTTCTTATTATATACACTGGTTTTAGATTTGTATCAAGTTCTTGTGGGTTATACACTGGTTTTAGATTTGTATCAAGTTCTTGTGGGTTCACTTCCTGAGGATCCACTTTTTTGGAAGGTTGGGGGTTGATTCGGAAACAATATAATCTCCGAGGAGAAGTGAAGTGGTGGCGGTTATAGGTGTTCAAATTGGTTAACTGGTCTCGGACCGAACCTGTCTCTTCGTAACTGATCTTCAGAACAAAAAACAAGGACTGGTCATAACCGGTTGGGCCGGACCCTTTAACCATAAACAAGTTTTATGCTTGTGTTATTCTTACTGTGTTATATGGGGACTTCATTGTTGTAACGCCGGGACATACACATTTAGTTATAGATTAGTAGCAAGGTCATTATTTGTGGGCTTGGGTTGGGCCCGGGCTGAACTTAAATTACTTTTTTGTCCGACGGACTTGATACAACAAACATAAGCTGTTTTTGCATGCTTGATAACTTGCCTATATAGCTGTACCGGTCCTATAAACGAGTTGGGCTTGCATCGAAGCTAATAGGGAGTAAAAAAAACTTTTACTTTAAAGAAACAGATGTAAAACGTAAGCTATGTAAAATCATTCAAAATGCATAGTTTTTTTCCAACTTAAAATAAGACGTTAATGTAACAATGTAGATTGCTTAAGAAAAAAAAGGTTTCACGAAATATGGAGTATTGGACGTTTCCTCTCCAAAGATTTATCAACCGCCAGAGTCCGGATTGTTTAAAACCAAATATTCCACCACCTAATATTTCAAGATCGAGATTCAAGACATACTGTATGACATATCACATATAATATATTGAATAAAGTACGTTTTTGGTCCTTGTGGTATGTTAAAAATATCCGGTATCATCTCTTTGGTTCGTTTATTACACCGGTGGTCACTTTGGTTTGCAATTCCGTTCGGTGTTGGTTCATGTGGTTTGCAAATCGTTACACATTTTGTCCATGAGCCTAAAGGCTGTTAGTGGAGGACGGTTAAGTTGAAGGTATTTTGGTCTTTTCTCTTTTTCTTATTTTGTTTTATTAAATGAACTGAAAAACGCTCTCTCTCTCTCTACCTTAGTAGGGGGGACTTCAGCACAAAGCCAACGAAGTGGGCTTCTAAGTTTTTAATAAAAAAGTAATAAAATATTAAATTCATATAAAATTTAATTAATTATAAAAATATAGATGGTCCGGAACCCATTAATTTTAATGGGCTAGCCCCGGGAACGTGAATGGTTGTCCTAGCTCACTTTTCTAGCAGGCCGAGTCTAGCTGGTCGTACTGTCCATGAACAACACTATTTGGTATGGATCCTTTAATTAGCAGTTGGCAACCCCCAAATTGTCACTTTTTATTCGATGACGTTATTGCTATTTAGTTGACATCTGTAGGGCTTTTTGAGACACATAGTGATAGAGGGTTATCCTATCTTTAAATTTTCTCAGTATTGTGGCTTATCTGTGTCATGTAAAAAACTCACGCCATATGGAACTTCCTCCTTTTGATTTCTCATCAATTGATACAAGTATGAAAAGGTAAGGTGAAAGAATACTGCAAGTAATTGTAACATGTAGGTGAGGCACACGCTGATGTTTTTGTTGTGCCAGCTGGCTGACGTTGATCATAACTTTAGAAGCTACATGAGAAAAGTTACTCAATATCGGGAAATTGTCTGTCCACGTTGTCGCCCACCATGGTGACACGTGTCATGTAGCCTCACCTTTTGTTCTGTTTTTCTTGAGAGCACCACAATCAAAATATTTCTATTTCTAGTTCCAAAAGATATGATACCCAATGATGTCATTTATTTTACTTCCTTGAGGGCTGCTATTGCCTATTTTGTGCTCTTAGAAAGATTAATTAATTATAGTGTTTTTGATTAATATAATAAAATAAATAATTTTTATTATAAAATATATCATTAAAAAGTTTTCATCAAAACAAAAAGTTTATTTAGTTTTCAATTTTTGTTTTATACATTTTTTATATTATTAATATTTAATAAATTACATAAAATAATCAAAATATAGAAATCGTATAAAAATTATATTTTGAGCACAGTAAAGTGAAGTATACAAAGTATAAAATACAATAAATAAAATTTAAAAAATGAATAAAATGTAAAAAGAGAGGCGTATTTGAGGTTTTAGAAGTGAATTAGTTTTTATTTTGAGGTTATATTGGTAAAGTAAGGTCTGTTCGACTTTGTTCCATGGGATGGGTTGGAACACGCCTGTTCCACTCTATTCCCGTCCGTTCCATATAAAAGTCTCGCCAAACATGGAACAATAATTCTTGTTCTGTTCTGTTCAATCCAGTGTACCAAACGCACCTTTACGAAACACATAGAGCAACATCCAACCTTAAATTGCTCAGTATTGTATTCTTATATTGGTCAGCAACTTTATCTCAGTCATGCCAAAAAATGTTGCTTTATGGAACTTTATCTTTCAATTTCTCAAGAATGGTACTAATAGAAAGAGGTCTTCAGAGTAAATTGTCAGTCGACGGTCGTGTAAATGTCTTAAAAACAACTTATCAAAAATTATGTATTGCTTAGTAATGCATAATCCTTAAATTCCAAGTTTACAAGTAATTACAGCATACGCATAATTTCTTAAAGGTCTTTTTATTTATAAAACTAACAAATGATGAACTGATAAACACGTTCAAATACAAGATAATCATTGAGTGATAACTCATAGCAGAATATTTCATTATAATCTTTTTATCCAAAAAATACTTATAATAAAATTTTAAGTTATGCGAGTCGACTAATCATAGAGCGACTACCTGCTTTGCAGATGGCTCGGAGTCACGGCATTTGAACTTCCGTGGCCACAAGAGGATTTCTATTCCTCCTTGGATTTGAACCTGAGACCTCGTGATACTTTTGACCTTGATCTTTTCTCATTGTTTACCAAGGATAGCAAGTCATGTAAGCATGTTTACCAGTTTGGTCACGTAATACGACCAAAATGAAGCACTGTAAACTAGATCTTGTTTTCATGAGGCTGGCAGTCGTTGCCTTCAGATTTGTAGGCAACAATTCTGTATTTTGTTTGTGGGTTTTTCCTAAATAGCATGACACAGGATTCTTGTTTCTTGTCGCTACAACTGGCAAATCCCCAACTTAAATACGATTTCGATTGCATCGTCTATTGTTTCGACCACATCTTTATCAATTATAAAACATATACATGGTCTTAAAGATGCCACATTTGAACTCTATAGCCCTTCATGGACTTCTGCTTCTGTTGTTAAGTGATGTATGGATAAAACTGTCTGTGTGAATTAATCTGTCTTTATAGATTAAGACGGTTTTTTCAAAGATGGAAGAGCCTGTTCTTTAACTGGGAGGGGCGGAAAGTATAGGCCATAGGGGGTGAGATGTACATAGAACTGTCATCTCTGTTGTTTACGTGAACGGTCACCAAGATACGACTTTTTTGTTTTGTTTTGTTTGTTGGTTTGATTATTTAAGATTATAATTTATGCATGGAACACGTAGAGGGACATCCTACCTTAAAATTCCTCCGCTTCATGTCAAAAGATGTTGCTTTATGGAACCATTTTATCCTTTGATTTCTCACCATATCATATTAATACATTATGTCTGTTGGGTGAATAGCAGCAGTCATGTGGGTGAGGCACACAGTGATGTTGGCTTTTCTGATGTGGAATCCATCGGCCAATCAGAAACGTACAGGGTGGAGAAGTTGTCGGTCCATGTCATCGCGGTGACACGCATCTTCTGCTCCTCTCTTTCACATATTTTAGTTGGACAGCTCTTGTCTGAATCCGTGGGTGAGATTTGTTGTTTTCCTTTTGAGGGTAGACAGCATTTCGTCTGATTCGGGCTTTAGCATGTCTGTATAGTTCACGTGGCGATGCTTTTGTTGTTATTATTCTATTAATGTTGTTGGGCGTAATTGTTGAACGTTGAAGTATTGCATACTGCATGATGCAGGAGGTCTGAACTGTGTGAACGACTAGCAGACTTCCTCGTAGTCCTGCACACGTGGCATGCACATGCAGTTCATGCTTACGACATAGGCAGCTGCAAATTCCCAAAGTTGGGTGTTTTGAGGCGAGTTTCTGTTCGTTTATTGTTTATTATTATATGTTGGCGTCGTGTTCTAATAGTTCCCATAAGAATCCAATATATTCATGGATTTGGTCTTCTGTTGTTGTCTGTGCCATGTAATTAATTGTTCCGAGCTAATGTTTAATGTCCGGACGCGTACGTGTTAAGGAAAAAAAATACGACGTTTTGGTCTCACTTAGGTTCAATAACCTTGAAATAAGCTTAAAACGATATTGTATGAACAACTTACCCGGTAAACGTTAACCGTGATAAGAGTTGTCGCCATCACTTACTGGATAAGACTCTCGGTCCTTATCTTCACTCTTACCAGTTAAGATTCTTGGTCTTTGCCATATTCTTTTCGGTAAGTTAATGTGACTTGGTAAACGCTTATCCGAGTAAGCATTTGGTAGGCGTCTCCTAGGTTATGTTCTGATCGACAACTCATACTTAATTCGGTTGCTTTTTTTGGAATTGAGAAACTCTGGGTATAGCAGTAAAAGCAAGACGTGTAGGTGGATTGGGTATAACGACAACCAAGAGGCTCGACTAGAAAGAATAGGTGGAGAAATTTTGTGTTCTATATGGTAATCCCTCTAATATCCGAATTGAATACAAAACTTCTTATTTGTGAAAAAGAAAAAAAAAGGGGCGGGAATTTTGGTTAGTCACGGAGTAAGAAGTGAAAGCAACTGGAGGAGGATTGCTCGACTTCATAAGCAAATTTGTGTGTAGGCAACGCTGTCTGTCATACTGCTGACTTTATGCATTCATTGAATTTGCTTGATTTCATTTTTTATCGGCTCATTGGTTCTCCAGGTCACTTCTCTCTCTAGAATGGATCTTTTAGAAAGAGAATAAAAGGTTCCATAATATTCCAAATTATGAAATTTGTACGTTAAGGGTGTGTCTGTTTATCTGTATATA